CCCGCCCCCCAGCCCGCCCGCGGAAGAGAAGCTCGCGAGAGGGAGGGGGAACCGCTCACTTTGGGGGCTGGCAAAGAGGGGGGGCAGGCCTTAGTGCAGACCCACATCTTCACCGGGCCCTGGGTCCCTTCCTCAGCTTCCCCCTTCAGTGGCTGAGATGAATTAATCAGCAGGGAAAAGGATCACTGCAGGCGACACCGTTGGTATTGCTGCTGTTATTCTTGGCTGGGGGACCATAGGACAAGGCCAAATCCAGTCGATCCCCCTCACAGGAACTCCATTCCACTCCACCCCAGGGGCTTAGTTCCCCGTGTAGCTACCCCGATAAATTCCCAAAGCCAGAGCTTGGGGGTGGGATTAGTGATTTGAAAATAGCCAAGGGAATCCCAGACTCAGTAGACCCCAGCGAGAAATTCTAGCTGTGATTGTCCCCTAAAAGCCATGGAAAGCACCCCCCGCCGCATCAGAAACTTTGGCAGATTCCAAGGGCGATCTGCCCACGATCCTATTTCTCCCCATTCTCCTACTCTTCAGAAAAAAATCATTGTCAATACCAGCTCCTCTCTGCTTTCTACAGATTCTCTTGCCAGGGTCTTCAGGTCGCCCTAAACTGTGCCCTGTCCCTTCCTTCAGCTGAACACCCCTCGGAAGCCTGGGTCCCCACACCCGCTTTCAGGCTTCTCTACTGCAGCCTTCGGCTCTTGGCTCGGCTCCCGCCAGCCGCGCCCCCTCCCTTCTCCCCTCTCCCTCCTCCCCCTCCCGCTCTCGTTCAACGTCACGAGATGACGTAGGAAGGCAGGGAGGGAGGAGGAGTGCCCCCCCCCAGTCAGCAGCTCCCGCTGCAGCTTTCTTGGCCCAGCCTCCCGCTTTCTCGCCCCCCTCCCGTCTCTAAAATGAGCCCCCCACGCCTGGCAGGAGCTATATAAGGCGGAACGAGACAGGCGAGGGGGGCAGCACAGCCAAGCGGAGCCCAGAGAGGAGAGAGAGCGCAAGCGAGAGCCTGAGCGAGATACCGGGAAGCAAGGAGGAGGAAGCCGCCGGTGCCTCGAGCAGGGACGCAGGTGTTCCGGGAGCCGGAGCTGGAGCTTCACGGCCGGCAATCATGTACCGCTCCACCAAGGGCGCTTCCAAGGCGCGCCGCGACCAGATCAACGCCGAGATCCGGAACCTCAAGGAGCTGCTGCCGCTGGCTGAAGCCGACAAGGTCCGGCTGTCCTACCTGCACATTATGAGTCTTGCCTGCATCTACACTCGCAAGGGTGTCTTCTTCGCTGGAGGTGAGCAAACTGGGGCTGCCAGAGGTCCAAGCTGACGGGCACCGGGAGCAGTGGAGCTTAGGGAACCCGATGGGACTGCCGCGTGTCTCGAGCAGCATGTTGGGGAGAGAAGAGGCTTGAGGGACTCAGGGTTTCCTACTTTTCCTCCTGAGCTCCATCCAGACTTCACCTTAGTTCTGGGTTAGGGTTAGAGAGACTAAACGCTGTCCCAAGTGCCAGATTAATGCGAGGAGAAGAGCCAGAACAGAATGGCCTCAGTCCCCTCCAGCTCAGAGGCACTCCGGGAGTGCGGGAAGGGAAGCCCGGGAAGTTGCAGGGACGGAGGCTGCACAGCCTGGGGAAGGACAGCCGCTGTCCCCAACAGCGAAAGGATTTTTTCGGCCCATCGCGAGAGCGCTGTCCGCGGTGCTGAGCACGCCGTTTTCTTGCGGTGTGCTGTCCGCGGTGCTGAAAGCGAGTCCGCTTGGGAGCTCTCTCCGCGGTTCTGATATCCAGGGCGGTGGAGGCTCCCGCTCTGGTTTAGAATTGAGGGCTGGCTGACTGGGGAGTTCCAGAAGCCGGTCCCCGGGGCCAAGAGCTGCGGGCAGAGGGTCAACAGGTGTTTATAGAGGCAGGCCCATGAGATATTCTTCTGGATTCTCTGAAACTCAAACCATGCTTTTCTCTTTTCGACTTTGCCTCCTAATCTTACCCTGACACACTGTATCTTTTAACTCCGCAGGCACTCCTCTGGCAGGTCCTACCGGGCTTCTTTCTGCTCAAGAACTTGAAGATATCGTGGCAGCACTGCCTGGATTTCTGCTTGTATTCACAGCAGAAGGGAAGCTGTTATACCTGTCTGAGAGTGTGAGTGAGCATCTTGGCCACTCTATGGTGAGTACTCAGGCTGGGGCACCAATGGGGTACAATGAATTCTACTGAGAAACTGAATTACCGAAGAGGGAGGGGTTCTATGCTGCAGGATGCTGTGGGCCAATGATTGGCTCTTGCTGTCCTCACTAATGGTCATCTTACCCTTCCTTTCTTCCTTCCTCCCTCCAGGTGGACCTGGTTGCCCAGGGTGACAGTATCTACGACATTATTGACCCAGCTGACCACCTCACTGTGCGCCAGCAGCTCACCCTGCCCTCTGCTCTGGACACTGGTAAGAACTCTTTTCTCCCTCCTGTTGCTCTGCTCTATCTACCCCATCCATTGTCGCTCTCATCCACCCACCCACTTATTAACTTTTCTCTTTGTCCACCTAGATCGCCTCTTCCGTTGCCGCTTCAACACTTCCAAGTCTCTCCGGCGCCAGAGTGCAGGCAACAAACTGGTGCTTATTCGAGGCCGATTCCATGCCCATCCACCTGGAGCCTACTGGGCAGGAAACCCTGTGTTCACAGCTTTCTGTGCCCCTCTGGAGCCAAGACCCCGCCTTGGGCCTGGCCCTGGCCCTGGCCCTGGTCCTGCCTCACTTTTCCTGGCCATGTTCCAGAGCCGGCATGCTAAAGACCTGGCCCTACTGGACATCTCTGAGAGGTAAGCTTAGAGTGTTCAAATCCCAGGAGGAAATCAGGACAGAGATGAGGGGACCCTAGATTCTGAAGTCAGGGGCAGGAAAGATGGGGTTTAGAAGGGCAAAGGGAGGGAATGAGATGCATGGATTTCAAGCAAGGAAAACAGCAAGCTGACCTCACCCTTTCCACTTTCCCAGTGTTCTAATCTACCTGGGCTTTGAGCGCAGTGAACTGCTCTGTAAATCATGGTATGGACTGCTGCACCCTGAGGACCTGGCCCACGCTTCTGCTCAACACTACCGCCTGTGTGAGTGTCCAGAGAGGCTGGGGACAAAACAGGGAGCTGGGAAAGGGGATGGGAGAGCAGACTAAGAATGGACTGTGGTCAAGACTGAGGTTGGGGAGATGTCAGAGACTGACAGTTTTGGATGCCATAGCATACACATTAGAACATAGGGTGAGGAGTCAAGGCAAGAGGAGAACCAGAGCTGGGGAACTCTGCGTGGTGAGGTCAAGGTGGCAAACTGTGAGGTGCAGGTTAGGGTAGTGAGAAAAGATGTCCTGGTTCCCTCAATTGAGTGGAGAGAGGAGCAAGGTGGGAATTTAGGTGGTGTTGCCTGATGGACATGCTAACTCTGCATCTCTTCTTTCTCCCCAGTGGCTGAGAGTGGAGATATTCAGGCAGAGATGGTAGTGAGACTACAGTCCAAGCATGGAGGCTGGGCATGGATTTACTGCCTGTTATACTCAGAAGGTCCAGAGGGCCCTATTACTGCCAATAACTACCCAATCAGGTGAGCTGCAAGGCAAGGGCCTGGGGGCAGCCAAGCTCAGCATGGAGGAGATAGAAATCAGAAAACTACTTTGAGAATGGTCACCAAGCCCTTACCAGTTGCCTCTTTTCTCCTCTCCAGTGACATGGAAGCCTGGAGCCTCCGCCAGCAGCTGAACTCTGAAGACACCCATGCAGCTTATGTCCTAGGCAACCCAACTGTGCTACCCTCCTTCCCTGAGACTGTCCTCTCCCAAGAACAGTGCTCTAATCCACTTTTTACCCCAGCCCTCGGGGCTCCCAGAAGCACCAGTTTCCCCAGTGCTCCTCAACTGGGTGTTGTGTCAACATCAGAAGAGATTCCTCGACCCCTCAAAGAACTGGACTTCAGTTACTTGCCGTTCCCTTCTGGGCCTGAGCCTTCTCTCCAAGCTGACTTAAGCAAGGAACTTGTGTGCACCCCACCTTACACACCCCACAAGCCAGGAGGCTGCACCTTCCTTTTCAGCCTCCATGAGCCCTTCCAGACCCATTTGCCCACCCCATCCAGCTCTTTCCAAGAACAGCTGACTCCAAGCACTGCAACCTTCTCTGATCAGTTGACGCCCAGCAGTGCAACTTTCCCAGATCCACTAACCAGCCCATTGCAAGGCCAGCTGACTGAGATCTCAGCCAGAAACTATGAAGACCAACTGACTCCCTGCACCTCCACCTTCTCAGACCAGCTGCTTCCCAGCACTACTACCTTCCCAGAGCCGCTGGGCAGCCCTACACATGAACAGCTGACTCCTCCCACCACAGCATTCCAAGCACACCTGAACAGCCCCAGCCAAACTTTCCCAGAACAACTGAGCCCCAATTCTACCAAGACTTACTTTGCACAGGAGGGATGCAGTTTTCTCTATGAGAAGTTGCCCCCAAGTCCTAGCAGTCCTGGTAATGGGGACTGTACACTCCTGGCCCTTGCTCAGCTCCGGGGTCCCCTCTCTGTGGATGTTCCCCTGGTGCCTGAAGGTCTGCTCACACCTGAGGCCTCTCCAGTCAAGCAGAGTTTTTTTCACTACTCTGAGAAGGAGCAAAATGAGATCGACCGTCTCATCCAGCAGATTAGCCAATTGGCTCAGGGCATGGACAGGCCCTTCTCAGCTGAGGCTGGTACTGGGGGATTGGAGTCACTTGGAGGGCTGGAGCCCCTGGATTCCAACCTGTCCTTGCCAGGGGCTGGCCCCCCAGTGCTCAGCCTGGACCTAAAACCCTGGAAATGCCAGGAGCTGGACTTCCTGGCTGACCCTGATAACATGTTCCTGGAAGAGACACCCGTAGAAGACATCTTCATGGATCTCTCTACTCCAGACCCCAATGGGGAATGGGGTTCAGGGGATCCTGAGCCAGAGGGCCCAAGAGGGGCCTCATCTCCTTGCAACAACCTGTCCCCAGAAGACCACAGCTTTCTGGAGGACCTGGCCACCTATGAAACCGCCTTTGAGACAAGTGTCTCAACATTCCCCTACGATGGGTTTCCTGATGAGTTGCATCAACTCCAGAGCCAAGTTCAAGACAGCTTCCATGAAGGTAAGCCAGGCCCAAATGTCCAAGAACTCATGTCCCTCTCCTCCCAGTGAGATGCTGGGTGGGATTAGGTGAATCAGTCTCCTCCTCATAACTCAGTTTTATTGAGTAGATAACATCATCTTTTAAGGTAGCAGTGAGGATAAGAAAAAATGAAGAACTTATTGAATCAGCAAGCCTGGCAGATGGGCTGAGGTTGTAGGCTACAGTAGGGGAGAATCCTTAGGTAAATATTTGTGCATTATAACTCTATGTGGACCTAAATTAGTCACCAACCCCATTTTATAGATGGAGACAATCAAGGTCTTGGAGTTTTAAAAATTGTCCTTAAGTCACACAAGAATTGATGGAAATTGATTAGAGTTCTGTCCCCACATTCTTTCCTGATGAAGGGACTACAGAGCAAGTAGGAGTTGGGGAAAGAAAGAGGATGGAGATCAGCCCTGACTCCTTCACAGCTTCTTCCTGATCACATCCCCATCCTTTTCAAATCTGTGGCCAGTTTCATTCCATCCGCCCATGTTACCCCTTATCTGCTAAGCTTCTGGGATCATTCAGCCATGGGGCCAATATATTTGAAGCCCATACTATATGTCAATACTGTCCCACACCTTTCTCTAATAGGTCTGACTGACTCTGTCTTCCTCTCTCTCTCTACAGATGGAAGTGGAGGGGAACCAACGTTTTGAATAAGTCTGTGACTTAACGTCGTCAAGTATGGCATATTGTCATCAAGACGTGGAGCCGCTCTCCACCCCCCCGGGACTGTGGGGGGATTCTGGGGGCCAAAGGGGATATATCTGATTCCCTGGGCCCTGGAGGATTGGGGGGAGGTGGGAGGGGAAGGGAGGGGAGCTTCTTTTTAAAATTAAGGGACTTCGAGCGATCCCAGCTTCCATTTCAATCTGTATTCACTCGTAGTGAGTTTCAATGAATGGGATTTCGAGCGGAGAATAGGGGAGTCTCACTTCCCCACTGTGCTGCCCCATGGGCCTGGGCCAGTTCTCCACTCCTAGGGGCCAAACGCTCCTGGGGCTTGGTGGGGGAAAGGCAGGGTCCACCTGGGCCAGCCTGTGCCCTCAGGGGCTCTTGACACCCTCGTAGAATTCTCTACACACCAGTAACGGGATTTCAATTCCGATGGACTCTGCCGCCCTGGCGGCCCTTCCTGTGACTTTTGCGCCCCGCGCCTGGGGTGGGGGGCGCGAAGAGACGCTACGTTCCTTTCCGATGGAGGAAGGCAGACCTGCCGTCACACGTGTGCTTGCACGAGTGCGTGTACCTGGTACGGGACTCACCCGGCCGCCAGACCGCCTGGGCCTGCCCAGTCGGCCACCTCGTGGTGCTGCGGTGACTTTGTAGCCAACTTTATAATAAAGTCGAGTTTGCCTTTTTGGTACCCTTGGTGTCATGCACTGCTGTGAATGGGAAAGGGTGGAGGAGTCTGGGGTCAGGAGGTAAAGGCTGGACCAGCTCACAGCCTGAGCATTTATTTCTTCTTTCACACATGCACTTAATCCACCAGTGCAGTGCGTGGCCATGGCTGTGCTGGAACCTAGGGTCTGATTGAGGCAGATGCCATATCTTTCCTTGAAGGTGCTCGGTGTCCAATCCTAGAGGATATCGGACCCTCTTCCTCCTCCAGACTTACAATTTCCACAGTGTGGGAGGGAGCCAAAGCCCTGGGGATAGACAAGAGATTGAGCTTGACATTAGTTCTAGACATGGTTTTGAAGCTTCTGGACTTCTGAGTTTTTCTTTCACCTGGTCCGGCAGGAAAGTGATGTCTCTGTGAGGTCCCACATATTCACATTGGAAATGGTAACCACCTCTGATCCTTGCATAGAGGTTTCAGCTGACACACACTTTCCTATCCCTCATTCACATCCCTGATGGAGAAACTGATAATCACAGGCAAAAAGGTGATTTGGCCCCCAGTTGGTGAGAGGCATAGGAGGGCTATACACCCATATCATTTGGATCCCAGCCCTAGGCTATTTCTGTGCTCTCAAAGCTACTGAGCCACCATCTCAAATCATCCCCTCCCAGATTCCCTAAGAAGGGCAAGCCTGGGTTGAAGCGGGGGCTTCTCCTCCAAATGAAGAATGAAGAACCCATTCTTTTTGGCCTCTCCAGGTCAGTGAGGAGAGATAAGCAAAATTCAGTGGGTCAAAAGAAGAAAGTTTCCAAAAATGCTGTTTTCCTCCAATAGCCACAGGTTGCAGTCAGAGGGATAGATAAAATTAGGACACAGTTAGATATGGCTTCAAATCTAGCCTCCACCAATTATTAACTGAGTGAGTCCTGAGCCTTAATTTCTTCCCAGGTTAAGTGGGTGACACATCTCCTAAAGACAGAGACAGTACTAGCCCAGTGTGGTGGCGCATGCCTGTAATCCCAGCACTTGGGAGGCTGAGGCAGGAGAATCACTGTGAGTTCGAGACCAGCCTGGGCTACATAATGAGTTCCAGGTCAGTCTCAACTACATAGTGAGACCCTGTCTCAAAACAAACAAACAAACAAAACAGAGTCAGGACTAGATGGGGGTCTCTTTCTAAGCAGAGAACTACAGGAAAAACTTGAGTTATTAAACTGAATTAGATGGCAGTGATGGTTTGGAGACATAGAGTAGCCCCCCCTTTTTTTTTCAAGGAAGGAAAAGGCAGCTCCAAGTCTCAGCCTTTCCTAAGGAAGGCAGAGGAATGGGGTTCCAGTAGCCCAGAGCTCAGCCCTGAAAATCCTCAGCCCTCTTTCCCAAGGCCTCCAGCCCTGGGCCTGGGTCTTTGTCTTCAGGAGGAAAGAGCCCAGGGCTATGATGCAGATCATGCAGGCCTGTCACCTGTGGGCTCCAGGGACCTGTCACTCTTCCCTCCTTGGATGGGTCCTCGCATGGGACAGAGGGGCAGAGCCTTGCCCTTTGCCTTCCTCATCTATCTTTTCTCCATCTTGAACACAAAAACTGAATTGTGAGCCCCAAGAGGACTCTGTCTTAGCTCTGTTCCATTCCAAGCATAGGACCAGTACATAACAGGCGCACAGGAAGTATTTGGTCAAGACGATCATTTCCGAAGTCTCTCCAAGGATTAGAGAGTCACCAATTTCTCGTGATAGAAAGTGTTCCTATGTTGCCTGCAGGGCAAAGGCTTGTGATTTTTAGCTTTGAAATTTAAGTATCCATGAGCTCAAGACACATTGTGGTCCCACAGAAAAACCAGCCCAGTCATCAAAAAGGAAAGTCTGACAAGTTATCACTGCCCAGTGGAGCCTAAGGAAACATGAGAAAGTACACAACATGGTATACTGGAGTAGAGAAAGGATGTAACTTAACAAAGAAAGCTGAATAAAGTCTGGGCTTTTGTTAATAATAATGCATCAATATTGGCTCACTAACTGTGGTGAATGTATCATATAAGCACATAATAAGAGAAGCTTGGTATGGAGCCTATGTGAACTGTGTTCTATAGTTACAACCTTTCTGTAAATCTAGATCTGTTCTGAAACCAAACATTTCTTTTAAAAGTGGAAATAGAAATGTAACAAATAAAAAATTCTGTGAAGAAAGACTAGCCTGGTACTTGGTGATGGTGGATGATGGTAGTATTTGGGGATGAGAAAGACACCTGCCATTCACGCACAAGAGATCCAGACTGTGGCCCAGGGCATAGGGGGAAAAAATTGGATGAGCCGATGGCGCCACCTGCTGGTCCAAGAAGTATCTGCTTCTGATCGGCAACGTCTCTGTGGCTGATCAATAACCTCTCAGACCTGTAACCGGAGGCTCAGGAAGTGGAAAGGATTTGCCCAGTGACATCCCAGAGGGGCTTCAGAAGCTGTATTTGGCTCTGGGGGTAAGTGCTGACCTGGGAGCCAAGTGTGTGAAAAAAGGTCCATGTTTGGGGATCAGTAAGACTGAACTCAAGTGCTGGCTTTGCCATCTCATCTCATGTGAGAAGGATTTACAACACTTGCACATGCCAGCGGCTGTTCGTGGTGCTGGGGAAAACTGAACAAAACAGACATGATCCCTGGGCTTACACAGCCTGCACTCCAGTTGTGGGAAGACAAAAGAAAAAGTAGACTGCAATCCCAGCACTCGGGAGCCTGAGGCAGGAGGATCACCATTGAGTTCAAGGCCAGCATGAGCTATATAATGAGACCTTGTCTCAAAAACAGAACAGTACAACAAAGTCTAAAAGGAGTGTGTAGTGTGTTTAATGCAGAACCAGAGTGCTGCGGTAAAGCAACTGGGTTCCAATTTAGAGTGAGGTGTCAGAAAGCCCTTGTAAGGAGCTGACATTGAGAGAAAATCTAAAAGACAGTACAGAGGAAAAAGAATGTGCTAACTTAAGAGTAAGGGCTTTAAAGTGGGAGAAGGTTTGACCTATTTAAGTAGTAGTCAGGAATTCAGCATGGGTCGCTCAAGGCAAGCAAGAGCAAGATGGGTTGGAGAGGGGGAAATTTTTCTGTACTACAGAAGCTTAGATGGTATTCCATGTGCAGTAGGAATCCCCGCCCACCATCCTTCTATGTTGCAAGGACCACAGTTGTAACTGTGTGTAACTGTGTTAAACCTCCACCTCTGAAAGTAAGAAATGTGCTCCTCACATTAGCTGCTGTGTCCAAAGCACTGGTAATTCTAAGACTAGTGCCTAATGCATAAGTGCAGAACTTGTTGCACGCCCCCCCATACCAGGGATCAACTCAGGACCTTGCACTTGTGAAGCAGGTGTGCAAAACTTAACAAATGATGTTGTCACAGGACTGTGTATAATTTTAAAAATGCACAACCAACAAAATACTCGAGTTGAGTTCATTAAATAAATTATGGCCCTCTAGTAAGACGGAATACTAAGCCATCATTAAAAATTGCTTTAGTAGCCAGGCTTGGTGGTGCACAGCTGTAATTCAGTACTCTGGAAGCCTGAGGCAGGAGGCAGGAGGATCACAAGTTCAAGCCTAGCCTAGGCAACTTAGTAATTTAGTGAGACCCTGTCTCAAAGAAAAAAAAAAAAAAAAAAAAAAACAGCGGAGAGTGTAGCTCAGTGCAGAGGTCTTGGGTTCAATCTTCAGTACCACCAAAAAAAAGAAAAACAAAAGTAGCTAAGGCCAGAGATGTAGCTCAGTGGCACCACGCCTGCCTGGCAAGCACAAGGTTCTGAGTTCAACCTCCACATGCGGGGTGGAGTGGAGGAGTGGCCGAGTGCCTATAGGTCTAGCACTCAAGGGGCTAAGACAGGAAGACTACCTGAGCCCAAGTATTTTGTCTGTCCCCCCACAAAAAGTCTTAGAAAGGCAATAATAATGTTCTAGTAATTCTAAAAGTGCAATATATTCTAAAAATACAACAGCATATAGAACGTGAGCCCAGTGAGATTTGTGTTATTTGTAGTGCTGGTGTTTCAACCCAGGGCCTTATCACATGCTAGGCTACCACTGAGCAACATCCCCAGAGTAATTTGTTTTTTTAAAAACATTATACAAAATTGCCACGGCCCCGTGTGGCTAAAGGGTTCATGGAATAAGAAAGGATGGTGAGAGATTAAGAACAACAACCATATAATAAGGTACAGGTGGGGCCAGGCGGGGCCCTAACTCCTGATGAAAGGAAAAGACCACCAAGCAAATGGCCGTGTTTATTTACAGTGGTGGAGGTAAGGGAAGTACAGGGGCTGGTCTGTAACAGGAGCTGGACTACAGAAGCAGGACATCATGTTTGATGTTTCTCTGGCAAATGGGTGGAAAGGAAGATAGTCCTTTTCTCAGCCAGGCCTTGCTCGACAATGCCTGCCCGTTCTCCTCCCTTGGGGCTCTGCCTCCTCTGGAAGGAGGTGAGTTGGGCCTGGCCATAGTGATCTACGGTGCAGCGCTCCCAGCACAAAATGCACCCATAAATTTAAAAAGTAGGAAAGATTATATCAAATTATTGGCAGGAGTCTCACATGGATGGATTATGGGAGGTTTTAATTTTTTTTGGTATTTTTGTGCCAGACACCCCTGCACTCAGGTTCCAGTACTCACCTGCCCAGTATACAAAACAGGCCTGAGAAAAAAATACACTAAGAAATAGAACTAAGAGAGACAAAGTGGGGTGCCAGGACAACCAGTGCTGGGGTAACCGACAAAGGAGCTGGACAACCGTAGGAACTCACTTCTATTGCAATTAGTTGGGGTAAAGGCGACATGTGGTTTCTATAGAAATTAATGTAAACAAGGCTCATAAAGGACAAAACATTCTTGAATTAGGAACAGAATAGACAAAATATATGGTTGTAATTAGAACACTGTCCTTCTAGTTTGAAAGTTTTAGTTGTAGGAACAGAACTTGGGTGTGAGTTACTCTGACCTTGGCCCTTAGGGTTCAGCCAGACTCACTTCTATAAACAAACCAGTTGGGGGGTTAACACTTCACAGCCTGCTTTGGGCATAATCAATATTATGGCCCTCTGCATTTTTGTGTACTTCTCAATATTTTTCAATGTAAAATGGTCTAGTACATAGCAGATGCTCAGTAAAAACTACAATCTTGATTCTTCCCAAACTCCTCTTTCCTCTGAGAAGACAAGAATCCTCAGTGTTCTGAATGATGGGGAAAATAGCACCAAAGGCCTTCTCTGCCTGCCATGGGAGGGCATCAGCTAAAGCTTTGGTTCTTCTGCAGGTCCGGGGTCCTTGAGCTTACCACAGTGCATGTTAAGCGATCACCTGACCCAAAGCTAAGTTCAGAAGCTTAGCAGAGGAGCCTGAAGTAGGCCCTAGACTCTGGGGTGCTCTGTGCAGTAATCCTGCCTGGGAATCCCATACGGTCTCCCATGAACAAGTTGCCAAAAGATACAGTCACAGGCTGGGTGTGGTGGCGCATGCCTATAATCCCAGCACTCGGGAGGCTGAGGCAGGAGGATCGCTATGAGTTCAACACCAGCCTGGGCTACATAGTGAGCTCCAGGTCAGTCTCAACTATATAGGGAGACCCTGTCTCAAAAAACCAAAAAACAACAAACAGAACAAAACAAGATACAGTCAGTCATACTGGAAAAGATAAACGATACACCGAAGTCCTGCATGTAGGAGCCCGCCCACCTGCCCACCCGCTCACCTGTGGGGACAGAGAGAACATAAGACACTTAATTGAGAGGCCTGGGACCCAGGATTTAGCTCACTGGTTCCACCGCCTGTCTGGCAAGCACAAGGACCCGAGTTTAATCCCTGATATCAAAGAAAAAAAAAAAAGGGCCTGGTTCTTACTACTTCTAGTAACAACTCAGAATCTTGGGTCTATGGTTTCTCAGGGGTTCATGTGCTGGTGGCCTGGTTCCTGAGTTGGTGGAAGCTTAAAGGGATGGGGCACAATGGAAGGAATTTAAGTCATAGGGGCTCTATCCTCACAATGGATAAAGACTGGTCTCAAGTGGGGGGGTTGATAAAAGTGACCCCCCTCCCATACACACAAGCACAGCCCCTTCTGTATGCAGGTGTTATTCTTTCCACTTCTCTGTCACCAGACACCAGTGTCATGCTGTTTGGACTTTATAGCTACCCGAATCATGAGCTGAGTAAACCTCTTCTCTTTATAGAGTACCCAACCCCAGGTATTTTGTTATAGTAACACAAAATGGAGTAAGACGCTGGGCAACTTATTTTGTTTGGCTGAGCCTCCAGTTATATATCGAGAAGCATGAAAAACCCTACCTACTTCCTGGAGCAGTTAATGTCTATCTGCGTTGGGTACTGTCAGTACTGGTCCCTTCCCCAGGGGTCCCAAGACAGAAGTTGAGAGTGGGTGACAAAGGATGTTTATTTAGGCTTAATTCCTTGATACACACATATCTAAAAATATATAATTTAAAATCAGGAAAATGATGCTGCTCCCAGCTCCCACTTCCAGCTGTTTCCTTCAAAATCCTGCAGTGTGCAGGACAGGGGTCACTTCTTGGCAGCTTCTGCCTGGGCTGCCAAATCTGCCTCTCTCTGAGCAGCTAGGAACTCAGCTCGCTCCTTCTGGAAAGCAGCCAGCTCTTCGGCACTAAGGCTGCATGGAAAGAGAGACGCCTGGTAAGTGGTGGGTCACAAGGGCCCATGTCACTGTCGCAGAGAACAGCTGGCCTGGCCCCTTACCCCTCTCTAGATTACTCCACATTTCTGGTCACCTGTTTCCTCTGCCAGGAATGCCACCCACAACATTCATGCTCCCACCCATCTTTTATTCCCTTGTTAAAGCCCTAAAAGTAGCTGGAAAGTCCTATGAGATCTCAGCTATACCACAGTCCAGATTAACTGGCCCTTTCTCTGTGCCCCTCTTTGTACAATTATGTCTTACAGATATGCATGAATATCTCCTCCAAGGTAGGGATCTGATCTACTCATTTCTTTTTTTTTTTTTGTACCGGGGATTGAACTTGGATCCTTGCACTTGTGAGGTAGGCGGTGACACCACTGAGCTAAATCCTCGGCATCATTTCTGCTCCCTATAAAAGTAAAGATTTGAGAAAATATCAGGGATAGTGGTGCATGCCTATAATCCCAGTAATTAGGAGGTTGAAGGAAGAGGACTACAAGTATAAAACCATATCTCAAAATAAGAAATATAAAAAGCCAGGCACGGGGGTAAATGCTTATTAATTTTAGCACTCAAAAGGCTGAGACAGGAGGATCACTGTGAGTTGGAGGCCAGCCGGGGTGACACAGGAGTTCAAGGCCACTCTGAATTACATAGCAAGACCCTATCTTAAAAAAACAAAACAAAACAAAATAAAAATAAAAAAAAAAAACAGGAGCCAGGGATTTAGCTCAGTGGTGCCACCGCCGGCTTCGTAAGCACAAGATCCTGAGTTTGATCTCTAGTACCAAAAACAAACAAACAAACAAACAAAAAAAAACAAAACAAAAATCTATCTAGCCACCCACCCACACATACACATACATGGGCTGAGGATGTAGCTGAATGAAAAGGCCCTGGGTTCAATCCCTAGTACTGGCAAAAAGAAAGAAAAGTCCAAAGAAGTGCCATGGGAAGGTACCTGCTGAAGCTTCTGCAGGTCTGGTGGCCCTGAGCTCACCATAGTCCATGTTCAGCTATCACCTGACCCAAAGCTAAGTCTAGAATTAACCTCTCTACTGAAGACAGTTGGGGAAACAACTGTCAGCCCAGGCCTGGGGTGTGACACAAGCAGCAAGAGGACAGTGAAGGGTTGAGAACTGTCCCTGTACCTGCTACAGTCTGGGCCAGGCACCTTCCCACATGATATCTTCAAGGAAACAACTCCTAAGATCATCCAGAGCCTCCTGCTGGCCTCAAGATCAAGTTTGAATGTGGCAGAATTCAAAAGGTCCTGTCTGACAGGTTCATCCCTAAGACCCTGTCCCACTCTGCCTCTAGGGCTATGTTCCCAGATCACATCACACTGAACTTTGCTTCACTCTCTCCACTTTCTTTTCTTTTCTTCACAGGGCTCTTTCTAATTCTTAGAACTTTTGGCCCAGTTCTTCAACTGCTTTTCTAGAGCTTTGCTTAGATGTCACCTCCCCTGAAAAAGCCTTGCCGACAAGCAGGTAAAATCAGAAGCCCTCTTTTCTGCTCTCATGACACCTAAAGTTCTCTTATCAACAATGACTATCTGGTTGCCTAACACTCCATTTGTAATGCTCCATCTGCTTCCACCTTAGGGCTATGAGTTCTCCCAGACTTGGTAAAGGATGACTGCTCAATCCTGACTATATTCAACATCAAGAACAATGCCCAATTCATAGCAGGTGCTTAATAAAGTATTCCAAATGAATGAATGAGTCCTAAACCCGGACTCTATCCCCAAGGATCTATTTGACTCAAAAGCTAACTCTTCACTATAAAGGGGCCTTTCAGCCTTGTCCCCAAAGTAAGAGCTTTCTGGGCTCTCTCCTCATACAGCACTCTGCAGAATACTCACTCCTTCACCACACGAATGCCTAGGGAACAGGCAGAGCCAATGATGGAGCGGACCACAGAGGACAGGGGCACATCCTGCAGGGCGAAGGCATCATCCCTAGCTTTGATGCAGGCGATCTCATATATGTGCTTCAAAGTCACTATGCCCGCCACTTCTTTCCCTGGGAAGAAGCAACAAGCAGCTCTTCAGGTATTCCTGCTTTCTCCCAGAGCTCCCACAAGTGTCTACCCTGGCCCTCACCTGTCTGCCGAGCACCCTTCTCGATCCCTGCAGCTGCCTTCAGGAAGTAGGAAACAGTGGGTTGTCCAATCTTGATTTCAAATGTCCGGTCAGGCTTAACAGAAAAAAGAAATGTGAGAATATATCTTCCTGCTACTCAGCCCAAGGGACTTCTAACATCTTGTCCCCACTCCCTTCAACTCACCATCCCATGGTGTCCCTAATAGACCATAAAAGCACAAGGGAAAAAATAAATCTACATCCCCGTAATCTCTACTCTTGGCCCAACTCTGTTCTGTAAGCCTCAGTGAGATGGAAGGACCAAGGGAAGGACCATAATATGGCAGGACAAAGAGGACTCAGAAAAAAGTCTAGATTTTACAGTGTAAATCGGGAAAGTAGAGCCCAGTACTAGCAAGAGACTTGCACCACATCAGAAATAGAGGAGCAAGCCCAGGTTCATCAGTCCCAGGGCCAAAAAGAAATAGTAGTAGGAGAAGGAAGCCAGGGATCAGAGTCCAGACTGCACCTTCACAAAAATCTTTGTCGGCAGGGGAATGCCTTCCTTGATATCCTTTGTCTTCTCGTTGAACTCCTTGCAGAACTGGCTGATAGAAACGCCTCGCTGTGAGGGAAGCATAGAGGGTAAGTGGTGTGAGCAGGCGCCGACCCTTCACTTCTTCGTTCTTACTTTTGGGGTCCCATCTTTCTGCTATAGATTGAACTACTGCTTTACGTGCCAGATTTGTATGCATCGTCCCACTTTATCCTTACAACAGCCTACTAAGAAAGGGCTGACGAAACTGAGACTCAAAAAAGCTATGTAATTAACAAAAGGGCATAAAGTAGTCGAGCCGAGCTTTGAACCAAGGTTCCCTGGCTCCAGAGCCGGCACCCTCCCCGAGCCGGGGTCCATACACCGCCGCACCTGACCGAGGATGGGGCCTAGTGGGGGCCCAGGCATGGCCTTCCCGGCCCGCACAATGGTCCGGATCAGGCCGCCGGCCTCGGGCTTCTTCAATGCCCGACTAGCCCGGCTTAGTTTGGACATGACGAGAGCTTTGAATCTTGGTTGCTTTAGGGTAAGAGTCAAAATAGAGTTTAGGGCGCCGCCATCTTGAGCCAGAGGTCAAGGGTCCTCACGTTAGCGCAGGTAAGGCCAACAAATTGCCTTGTTTCAGTCTTACCGCTCGCCCCCTAGTGAAACAAGGGGAAATGAGAAAAAAGTTTTAAATTGCGTTCTGCAGACAAGAACCTAAGGGGCTTTACATTCCACGCCCCCCGCCCCAGGATCTATAGGCAATATCTTGGACAGGCAAACAGGAGTGGGCCTTTGATTCCCGCACAGCATTCTGGGTGTGGTAGTTTTTTCATAAAGGTATGCAATCCGGATGATTGTTCTGTACTGGGGCGCCATCTGCTGTACATGATGATAATCTTACATTTTGAAATTATGCTGGAGGTTTGTTACTGGGAATGAATCTCTTTACTCTGAGTCAGTGTTTCCTTCCTGTTGTTAAAAGGCAATATAGTTACCAGCACTGATACAGTTACCTTGGAAGCACACTTCCGAGCTGCTCCTCTTGCCGGCTCTGAACTTGATCGAGTTACTTAAATTATTATGCTCTGTTCTCCCTGTACAATGGGAATTATAATGCATAGTACCCAGCTTTCAGGGTTGTTGCGCAAACTGACTTAACAGATGCTTCATATAACAATATGCTTATAACAATGCTTCATACTTAGGACACATGAACTGCTATTATGTGTACAATAAAGACAAAATTTTCCCGGAGCTGTTGTGAGGCTTAATGACCCAGAACATTTGATATATCTACTGTAACCAACAAAATAAACACTTGCTGTATGGTAGACACTGTGAAAAGCTCTTACACAGGCATACAGAAAATACTGTTGTACTCCTCTTAAAAACGAAAAGTTTGAGAAACAAAAAGGAGGCCAAAACATTGAGTCTTGTAAGTGACAGGGTTGGGGAACCCACACTGGGGCTATCAGATTCTAGACCTTAATCACAACTCTGTATTGCCTCATCTCATATAGTAAAATGACACAGAGTTCCCATAAAAACACTGTAAACTATGAGACACATATAAAAAATTCATTATGAATTCTTGTTGGAGTCCCATTAATTAAATGTGATTTCCCTGCCTCTGAAGTCTGTCAAAGCCTTCCTAGCACTCAGCCTTATGAGCCATATCAAAACCCTGGAACCAAGCTGGCTCTTTGAGTAACTAGCTGAAGACCTTGGGCAAGATAATTCAGTTCGCAATCCTCTCATTTTCATTCTAGGGAAATGAAACTGATATTAGTGCCTACACTTCACACACAGTAGCCCACTCTCATGTTGTAGGGTGTACAGTAATCCCCCCCCTAATTGGTTCAAACTCGCTCTGCAGAGCCTGTATCTTTTTCTAACTTTAATAGATTAAAAAAAAAAGAATCAGAAAGTTGACTGGCATGGGAGGACCCTGAAGTGCAGCTTGGGGCAAGTAGGGTGCAATTTTCACTTCTTGTCCATGGAAATACAAGTTTTGTTGTTATTTTTGTTTTTTGGTACCGGAATTGAACTCAGGTCCTTGCACTTGCAAAGAAGGCACCAGAACCACTGAGCTAAATCCCCAGCCCCAAGTTTTGATTATTCGGTCTCTTATATATTACAAGGAAGCCACTCGCCGGTGCACCCTGGAAATATCTGCGAGATCTTGTGTGAGGTTCAGTGGCAATGATAAAGATGAGGCTGGACAGGTGGGAAAGGGGTCAGGCCACACAGGGGTTCCCAGCCCTGAGGTGGACTGTGCTGGAGGAAGTCACTGAAGGGTGTGAAACATTTGCATCACATTTGCATTTTGAAAAGCTCACCCTCGGGTGGGTAGGAGGGATTGGAAGAGGTTAAGGATGGATGAAGGGAGATCCATTTAGACCAAGGAAGGAAGATAGTAGAAAGATAATGGAGACCAGTTGAAGAGATATTTAGAAGACAGAATTTGTGTTTGTGCAGTACGAGCTGTGTCTGTCTTACGAACAGTAACTCAGCACCATGCTATGAAATGTAGATGTTGTTATTCCCACCCCACAGATGAGGAAATTGAACCAGAGAGAGGTTAAGCTAACCTAAATTACAGTGTCCTAAATTACACCATGCTGATTTGAATATGGTTCCCCCCTCCCAAACTCAAATTGAAATTACATCGCCACTGTAACAGTATTAAAAGATGAGAAAGCCAGATGTGGTAGCACACGCCTATAATCCCTGCACTCTAGGAGCCTAAGGCAGAAGGATTGCAAATTTGAGCACAGCTTGGGCAATTTAGCAACTTAATGAGAGCCTGTTTCTTAAAAAAGGATGGGGATGTAACTCAATGAGAAGATCGTGGGTTCCATCCTCAGATCCCTTTCACCACCAGCAAAAAAGAGTGAAGAAAGGAAACCAAGAAGCAGCAGTCACTGAGTTAGGAGAAGGGCTCAAGGAGAGTGAGCTCCCCCAAAGCTACAGGAGAATCATATGGGAAAAAAAGCAAAGAAAAAAGTGAGTCAGGCTAAAATTGAGTCTGTTCCCACTTCCCCAAGAAAATGGAGAAGCCCAGACAATATGTTTGTAAGTAGCGGGTATGCAGACCTCTGGTATGCACCGTATAAAATGATTTGCTGGGGCACCAGGAGAAAGAGGAAGGAGGACCACAGAGCAATGGGAAGCAAGATGTCAAAGACCCAGCGGGCAAGACCTATACCTGCTGATTCCTGGGTGGCCCAGTGAAGGCAAGACAAGACAGGAGGTCAGTGAGTGGCTTCTCTCTTTCCCTAGGGAAACAGCAAGATTCTGAAGAGGGAAAAGCTGTGTGGTGACCGTGGAAGGCATGGCAGACAAGCCAGTGTCCTCATGTACCAGAAAGACTCATAAACTTTGAAGTGACATGGAGAGATGGGAGAAGCCGCCGGCCCTGATGAGACAGGGCCCTTCTCAGGGTGGATCCCCTCAAAAGGGTCCTTTCAGCAATGGCATCTTACTGGAGAAAGGCAGAGCAACTCCAAGTATCCTCCAGCGAAAACAGAATCCAACCTGAATGAGAGAAAAATCTCTGTATTTTACACACAGGCATCATGGACAGAGATTTGTATCCATCACACACGAAAAATGGTCAGCTTCACGCCTCGAGAGGAAATAGGGAAGAACAGACAGAGAAGTGGGCAGGCAGAAGGCAGAAAGAGGAGCCTAGGCTCTGTTCAATCTTTGGTGCCATGGAAAATTAGGGTTCTTGAATTAGTCATATGCAGTTCATCCCTCTCCCTCCTCCCCTACATCCAATCTGTCACCATACATGTCCCCCTGGATGTCCCTACAATTCCCATCAACCTCCCCATCTGCTCTATTGATAGGGGAAACTCATAAATAGCAAAAACCTATAGTGTTACAATGTAAAATGGCTTCTGCTATCTCTAACAGCAGTTTGTTTTGTTAAGCTCAAAACTAATAGGCACCGAAGGCACTAATTGCTGAATGAGGCATTTGGTCTCACCATGAGATAACAGTCAAGGTCCTGAGCTCTGAGGAGACCGGACTCACATGATCGTAAGAGTGTCTAAATGAGAGAACCCATGGCTAACATTTGCTCCCCTGACCCTGAACACCCCCCTTCCTACGGGCTGGAATAGATAAGTGGGCAAATCTTGAAGGTAAACTCCCCAATTACAAAGAACTGTTACATCTGTGTTGAAAGCTAACTATCCTGTGACTGTGATTTGAACTGTGAGAATGAAATGTAACCACCCAAACGAAGCCAAGGCTGTAAAGCCCTATAAAAGGAGGAGTTGTAACCCAGTGCGTCGTCGATCCAGGCACGGCTTATGTGTGATCGACACTTATCACTAAGTAAATTTATTATTTTCCTTCCATTCTGCTGCCTCTCTGTGTGTCATTTACTGATTCCTTAGTAAGAGTATGACTGCCCGAAGAGCATAACTGAGGTCCAGGTTCTGCCCACCCCACACACACACACACACACACACACACACACACACACACACACTACGTGACTTGGGCAAAGAGTCTTTTTCACTTCTCTGAGCCTCACTTTTCTCATCTGTGAAATGAAAATAGCAAATAAGCTTACACACAGGACTGTTAAATGAAATCAACAAGATTATCCCAAAGGATGCTTGGCTCAGGCCTGGCTCTTGCATGTTCAGGTAAACATTCTCCAAAAGTCAACTTATTATTATCAGTTTGGAAGGAATGCTTGCTGGGCCTGGTGGTGCTGGCCTGTAATCTCAGCATTATGGGAGGCTGAAGCAGGGGGAGCGCCAAATTCAAGTCCAGCTGGGACAATTTAGCAACTTACTAAGACCCTAGGTCATTTAAAAAAGAAAAAAAATAATAAAATAATAGATACTTGTGACAGCCCCCTTGATGACCTCCATCTCCACTCTTGCCCCTCTGATCTATCTTTCCAACTCCACCAATGTGAAGCCTCACCTAAAGCTTATCCATGGTGACTACAGCTTCTTTTCCAAGAATGCTGGTCTTGGTCCAGCCGAGACACTGAGTAAAATATAGCTTTTGGGACAAACCCACCCCTAGAGATCCTTACACTCGTTGCACTGTCCCAAGTGAGACACCACTTCTACAAGCTGAAGTCCACGGTCATTGGTATGGGGTTCAAAGCCCTGCAGATCCAGGCCTTGTCAGCCTCTCCCAGCTGGTCTGTCCCTACCTCACCCCATACCGTCCATTTCCACCATGCCATGTGTACTCCTCACTGCCCCTCGCTCTCCTGCCCCTCTCCAACTGTGTGTACGCCAGCCTGCTTGCCCTTTCCCTCCCTTACTTCCTGCTCCCTCTGCCTCCCCATCCCTCAGGCTAGAGAACACTTCCTGTTACAGGCCAGAATCTTTTGAAATTTCAACCCCGAGTGCCTCACAAAGTGACTGTATTTGAAGATAGGTCTTACATTACCACACATCCAAACAAAGCCCATTTAAAACAGATTGTTGAAAATCTCGTGTAATTTATTGAATACCTGCATCCAAAAAATGCTGACAATGCAGCACATATAGAGCATTCATTGTTTCCTCTGAGGCTGACTGGGAGCTGCAGCTGCTCCCACTGCTCAGTGCCCCAAGAGAGATCACACTGCATATCACCAGCCCAGGAAAAGCCCAAATTCAAAATCCCAACTGCA